GACCCATCTAGCACCAGAAACTCACCACATGGCACCTGGGACGATTACATCAGCCAGTAAGGCTAGTTAAGACCCCCACCCCCTGGGAGTCTGACAACCAATCAGGATACTCTTCCTGTGCCCCAGGAAGTTCAAAACCCAGAGAGGGCATAAAACCCTGGGCCTCGCATCATCTCAGCCCTTTTCTGTTCAGGAACTCAAACCATGTGATCCTGTCCACCATTAAACCATCTTTCCAAGCAGTCTCCATGTTTCCAGTGTCTGTTTCCCCACTTGGAAGTGAACCTAGATGGACATTTCTTCCAACATCAGTTTCCCGGGAACTTATAATTGGCTATTGCTGCAAGGAGAAGTGCTTGAAGAGATCCTGTTGAGGAATTCTTATTTGCTTATTTATGGTTACTGCACCTTTTCCAAATTTGGTGTACTCTCAGTTGCATTCCATTACCAATCTCATATTTTCCAGCCAATGTAGCTGCCAGATGGCAAAGGTTTTGAGAAGAATTAAAAATACCAGGAAGTGCCTTTAATAAAGTTGTTTATTATAATTTCCCTATTGCCAGTATGATGTCTTCCACCATGCTTAGTTTTTTTTGTAGCATACCCATCATATCTCACAGTTTAGCTTAGTTTAATTTCATGAATTCCATTATATTTAATTTCTGCTAAATGTCAGCAATGTGAACTATTCTTGATCAAGAACAAGGTTTACTGGTTTTGGGTTTCTAACAAGACCCACCCTCTTTCTTTGAATGAAATGCAAGTTCCTTTTTGTTGCTCTAAGGTCACAAAAATCTTTCCCTGAATGGTGAATTTTGTATAAATTGCTAAATTAAGTGTCTGTGTATACCCAACAAAAGCCAGTGAAAGACCACTGTTTTCAGTAAATAAATGTGGTGCTTTCTAAGGATCAGATTACCATGGTGGCAACAGACAGGATGTATGGGAGATATGGAACACACCCTCTTCAGTAACTGTTTTTCTGATAAACAGACTCTTTTCCAGCATCAGCTAATATTTTAGAGGTTCCTTCCATCTTCCACAGATAGAAGGGAACATTTTTTTCAAAACATATGCTAGCTACAAGGCATGTGTGTATGTTAAAAACAAAGTACAAGAACTGTTGTATAACCAAATATATTTGAATCTCATACAATAGATCAATTAAACTTTCCTCTAACATTGTAATAGCCAGTCGCTTTTGAAAAAGAAAGTCTCCATGTGGGTTACCATTTCCCATTCAGTGTGTGGATTTTAATATCATGTGCAAGTTTATTTATTGGGCAGCTACAGCCAATCATCTACACAATTTTTTTTTTGGTTATGACTTTCAACACATATGTTGTATACAATTCCCAATAGGAAGAGACTCAAAAATTGGAAATTCATTGTGTGTGAATAAAGAAACCCCAAGCATGATGCAATCATGTTTGTTCGTTTACTATGCGTCCCTCATTGCAAAGGATGCCCCACAGTATGGCCAACTGAGATGTTTGCAAATTGATGGCTTTGAAGAAAAATATTGTAGGAAAGGTAATTCAGGTGTAAAAGTAAAAGAGAAAACTGTGTCCCATACATCAAATTGACGGATCTGTGAGAGAAAAGTAAAAAGGAATCCAAATATGATGCAGTAATGCTATCTAAACCAAATCCTGTTAATATAGTACAATAAGATTTGTATGGGGAGCAAGCATTTGTTATTTATTCAGTGTTTTTGCTGGTTTTCCAACTGTTCACTCACATCCAACTTTCAGAGACTTTATGTATTGGCTGCCTTCATTCTTTCTTGTTTTACAACTTCTTTTAATGTTTCCAAGTTTAAACCTGTATCTTGCTTGATGGCATCAATCCAAAATATTCTTTGCTACCCTTGTTTTTTAGCATCTCCAACCATTCCAAACATGATTAGTTTCTTTGAAGAATTTGATTACCTAATATGACGAAAATAAGGCAGCCTTATATTCTAGTTATATTTCTGGATTGATGCAGATTAAAATATGCTTGGTTATTTATTTTTGTTCTCCAAGCTATGCATAGTATCTATTTCCAAGGTCATAACTTGAAGGAGTTTAGTTTTCTTTTATCTGCTTTTTTATTGTCCAACTTTCACAAATATATGTAATTAATGGGAAAAATACCTTTAACTATTCCATATTTGGTATTAAGAGTGATCTTTTTTCAGATCGTCTCTATGCTAATCATTGCAGTGCTACCAAATGATAATCTAATTTAATTTCAGGTTCAGTGTCACGACAGTCTTTGAGTAAACAAAGAAAAATAAATAAAACTTTGAACTGATTCAATTTTTTTATTGTCATTTATTACTATGATATTACTTTGGGTGTATAGATACACCAAGGAGAAAAATGTAAAATATGAATAAATTGGATTATGAGAACTAGACAAGATTTGATTTATATGTCGGATTTGGTTTGGATTTTAAAATTCTGATTCTAACAGTATTCCATGTGTATTATTTTGAGAATTGAGTTTTGGTAAAAGATTATAAATTCTAGTATGGAATAGTATGATGTCTGTTTCAATTTAAGGTAGAATGGGAAAGGGGGGAAAAACAGTGATATGTTACCCTGCAAAATTTCAGCCAGATAATTTAAAAAGTTTCACTACAGTGAAGTTTTGAAATCTCCCCTGTGTATTTCTTTTGAGGCAGAGATATGAGGGCTAAAGAATGATCAGTAGCCATTTGCAAATAGTCCATCAAAGAGTCTGTACAGAAGATGTCATGAACCAGTGCAGAGAGAATCCTATTCCAATTAAGAACAAAAAATTTCAAAAGCTGCTTTAAAAAATTGAAGAGTCTCTTGTTCTATGAATAGTAGTTATTCTAGTCAGGCAGGTTTTTTGACATGGTTGATGGGCAAGATTAACCTCTTCTGGGAATTATTTATTATGTGCTTCCTCCCCAACCATTAATAAAAATGTTTGAGATAAGTTATTTAGCTGCATTCCGATAAAAGAAAGTATCATATGCAGTGATCAGTAAGCACACAATCTCAGACCTATTCAAACAACGAAGAGGACCTAATTCACTCCAGGAAATGACAGAATGAGAAAAGTATCAGAAGGAAAACAAGAGGATTTTTAAAAATAAAAATTGATGGGAAGAATAGAGAGGGGTCCTTGGCGATCTCTGAGCTTGGTTGTTTTCTTGCAGATGCTTCATTACCCAAACTAATAGCACTGATGATGTTACCTAGTTTGGGTAATGAAACGTCTACAAGAAAAGGATCATGTTCAGAGGGCACCAAGGACCCTTCATTTCAACCCTGAGCTGCAAATATTCTCCTTCGTTGAGAATAGAGAGAATTAAAAACGAAGGAAAGGAGGGACGGAAAAGCTGTAGAGCTACAAACAGTCTCAACATGGAGACTCACAATAACTATGACATAGTTCATAAAAATAGATTCATAGTTAAAAAAAGATAAAGATAAAAAATCAACTGAATCCAATATAAAGTAAAATCTTTTTTTCTCAAATCTGAATTTATTAATAAGCTTTTAAAAATAGCATAAATTGTACTTTGCAGGTGAAGGTAGTTTAACATTTGGCTTTGGCATAAATTAGGTATAGATTAGAATATAGCTTTGATTTTTTTTTTTACACTATGAAAGTTAGGAGGGTTTTAATGTAGTGCAATAAGGAAATTAATTTTAGCTGACATTTCATCTGCAACCAAATGTCTTCCAGATTGGTTATTCAGTTATGTATTTAATTTAAATGTATATTGGTTGGTTGGTAGTTTGATAATTACTGACTATTCAATCTCTTGGCAGGTCAGGATAAAAATGTATTTAGTTAAAACCAAGGATACTAAAAATGAACTAAAATGATCAGCAATTTTTTAAAAAACTGCCCAAAGAGACATTTTGAAGACCCTTAAAAGCAGAAATCAATCGGTCTTCTTCACTCAGCAAAGAGGTTAATCAAAGATGTACGGCATCCCCAAGAGGATCCAAAGGCTGTTGTGGAGGAACATCTTAGAGCGTGGAGGGAAGTCTGCAGGAATATCTACACTTTCTTCTTGGCTCATTGTTAACCCTAACCCCTCAATCTTTTCTGAATACAGGAATAGATGATGGCCTGTTAAATCAGTAAAGTGCTCTCAGGGAACCTAGAAATTCATCTTCCATTCTACTTTTAAATCCCTTGGTTCCCTTTTGCATCAATAGGACTACAGTGGTATGGTACCATAAGACAGAAGGTTTTATGGTGACCATAGTCCAGACTGAGCACCAGCCTGCTCCCATTGCCAACCCACTGCAATTACAGGTAGTCCTCGACTTATGACCACAATTAAGCCCAAAATGCCTGTTGTTAAGTGAGACATTTGTTAAGTGTCATTTTTACGACACTTAACATTTGAAAGGTCATTTTAGGACCTTTCTTGCCATGGTTGTTAAGCGAATCACTGCAGTGGATAAGTTAGTAACCCAGTTCTTAAGTGAATCTGGCTTCCCCATTGATCTTCTTCTTCTTCTTGTGCCATATCCGCCATCGGATGTTGGCGGTCCTATTTTTATCAAGAGCTGCACGAAAAAGTGCTGCTGAAAGTTTTGTCCAAACCAGTCCCTTAGATTTTGAATCCATGATGTTCTTCTTCCTGGACCTCGTTTGCCTTCAATCTTTCTTTGGAGATTAAGTGAAGTATGCCATATTTTCCCCCATTGATATTGCTTATCAAAAAATTGCAAAAGATGATCACATGACCTTGGGACACAGCAGCGGTCATAAGTGTGAACCAGTGGCCAAGCATCTGAATTTTGATCACATGATCATACGACTGTTACAAAGGTCGTAAGTGTGAAAAATGGTCATAAGTCCCTTTTTTCAGTGTCATTGTAACTTTGGTCACTAAATGAATTGTTGTAAGTCGAGGACACTGTTGTAATTTGTGAGATAAAAGTTATATAGATAAGCAGATCAATTATTACAATGTAAGCAAGGTAGCCTCTCATGTAATCCATGTTGCTCTCTTGCAGGTGAATATCCTGGAAGCAGTATGAGCCAAAAAGGATCCACAGGCAGCTACTCTGGCTCTTCAAAGTAAGGAATCTAATGTCTAAATGAACAAAGTGTGGGTGAAGGGAGAAAGCAACTGGAGAGGTTCACAGTTCTACAGTCTGGATTGTCACAGGAAGTATGCTGAGGATATGTAGAGAGCAACTTTGCAGATGCTGAAAAGTAGAATTGTATCCTATGGAAATAGTAATTCTACTTTCTTATTTCTGGCTAGATTGGGTGGACATGAAATCCCCCTGGTGGGTCTCTGAGTCATGTATAGTTTACATTTCTGATTCCCATTGTGTAATGATGGGAACAACTCAATTGTTTTTCTGTCCCCTAAAACAGCGGTCCCCAACTTTTTTGGGTCCACCGACTGGCAGCAGTGGCAGTGAGTGGTTGGGGGGGAAGGGATGGTGGTGCATGCACGACCTAATCCCGTACATGCACAAATAAAGGTTTGTGCGTTCACCCGCTGCTTGCATGGACTGGTTCCCAATGGGCTGTGGACCGGTCCCGGTCCATTGCTTGGGGGTTGGGGACCCCTGCTCTAAAACTTTACAATTAAATATGGGACCTGTAGAAAACAAAATGTCTATCAAAATGATTATTATTTATGACACAAATCCTGCTTCTGACAACTGACACAAATACTTATGCAAGTCATGATATTTGCATCATGATTTTATGGCACATGTTTCATTCTCCTGACATGAAGTGGGGGTGACCCTTTGAGAGCTGTATGCAATCAAATTTCATTTTAATGTATGTCAATTGGTGTACATTCAAAGTGACAATAAAGTTATTCTAAGTCTAAGCATTTGTGTGAGAGTGAGGAGCATTGGTTTCTGTGTGGAATGATTCCATTCACTTCTGACACACAAAGCCCTCCATAGTGCTTGTATGTAGAATCATAGATTTGGAAGGAGCCATTTAGTAGCCTTGACTGCGAGATGGGCAGCAAATAAATAAATAATAGTCAACAACCCCCACCCACCCCATTCAATGGAGGAATCCAGATTAAAACATCCACAACATAGGACAGCTTAGTCTCTGTTTAGACTCATCTACTAAAGGGGAATACAGCGTTTCTCTGGGTAATTGATTTCAGGGTTAACTACTCTGTTCGGGATTTTTTTTTTATAATGTTCAATCTGCTTTCCTGTAACTTAAATGTATTATTTCATGTCCTGATTTCTTAAATTGCAGAAGACATATCTTGACCTCTTTTGCTTCAGGTTCAGGATGGAGGTTCTAGTGAAAGACACAGCAAGTCCTATAGCCTGAAACCAGCCTGCTGCTTATTTATGTCAATTTAGGGATTACAGCTCCTAAAGAACAATGGCAATTTGTTCCCTTTTATTCTTTTCCTATGACATCAGCAGGGGATTTAATTTAATGTATTCAATTTAGGCACCGCCTAATTCCAAGCTGTCACTCTAGGCAATATACAATAAAAGCAAGCAAAAATAGAAAATACATTAGAATAAGATTATAAAAAAGGTTGGTATCTATGAGCACATAGTAAATGACAAAGAGCCAGAGTTGTTGCAAAGTTTTTGACCTATTTGAAATCTGCAAATTACAAGAGGCATAAGAAGTCAGTGTCAAGTGAGGAGAATTGATAAGCTTATTGTCCAATCTCTAAGAGAAATTTCTACATTCTTCACTTGCATTATCTGTTTGAGGAGTGAGAATTGGGAAAGAAAATTTGAAAATGCTGCTTTTTAATCCCATGATATGGAAAAAATGGAGGACCTTGCAGCCAAACCTTGCTTAGGATTCTATGTCCTGTTTTCCCACGCAGGATGTTAAAACTCCTGTCATCAGCACTACGGAAACAAATGGTGAATTCTCTCAAAGGCAAATTAAAGTGCTCTTGTTTCATCTTACTGCTTTCTCTTTTTCCAGTGGCAGCATGGGTAAAGGAGATGGTGCTGGCAAAATGAGTGCAAAAGATTTATATGGTAAGTCCACATTTCATGCTTAATAAAGCTTGTCCAAACATGGAAGGTTAGATCCAATTTTGTATCTAACAAAGCAAGAGTTAACTTACAAAACGATGAAAAATGTTTATTTGTTGGCAATTTAAAGAAAATTATTGATTGCTAATATAACATACACTGGATTGTTTGAAGAAATTTGCCTTTCCATTTTCACTATGGAATGGGGAGGAACAGGCTCAAGCTCAACCCTTCCAAGACTGAGTGGCTGTGGCTCCCGGCATCCCGATATAGTCAGTTGACTCCATCACTGACTATTGGGGGAGAGTCTTTGGCCCCCACAGAAGGGGCTCGCAATCTGGGAGTCCTCCTGGATAGGCAGCTGTCCCTGGAGGAACATCTGACAGCTGTAACCAGGGGGACCTTTTGTCAGGTTCGCCTGATTCGCCAGTTGCGGCCCTTTCTTGATCGGGATTCCCTGTGCACAGTCACTCATGCCCTCGTCACTTCTCGCCTTGACTACTGCAATGCTCTCTACATGGGGCTCCCCTTGAAGAGCACCCAGAGGCTCCAACTGGTCCAGAATGCAGCAGCGCGGGTAGTGATGGGAGCAGCTTGGCGCTCCCATGTAACACCACTCCTGCGCGAGCTGCACTGGCTCCCAGTGGTGTTCCGGGTGCGCTTCAAGGTGCCGGTTATCACCTTTAAAGCGCTCCATGGCATCGGGCCTAGCTATCTTCGAGACCGCCTGCTGCTACCAATGACCTCCCATCGTCCCATGCGCTCCCACAGAGAGGGCCTCCTCAGGGTGCCATCAGCCAATCAATGCAGGCTGGTGACCCCCAGGGGGAGGGCCTTCTCTGTGGGGGCACCTACCCTCTGGAATCAGTTGCCCCCAGAGATAAGGAGAATCCAAGACCTTAGCGCCTTCCGCCGTGCCCTTAAAACCCACTTTTTCCAGCAAGCCGGGCTGGCTTAAGAAGAAATTTTAAATGTTTTAATTGGTTTGTATTTTTAATTTTGGGCCAAATTTATATATATTTTAATTGTTTTTAATATTTGTATTTTATGTTTTTTTAATTCTGGCTGTACACCGCCCTGAGTCCTCAGGGAGAAGGGCGGTATATAAATTTAAAATAAAAAATAAAATATAAATAAATAAAATGGAAAAGAAAATTGACAATGGGGGTGATTTCAGCCAATTAACCGCTAAACCACAGGACCACAAGTGTCAGGCTAGTAAGACCAATCATCTCTAAAAACAGTTCTCATCAATGATTTCTACTGAAACTCAGGAGAATTTAAGTAATAATATAATATAATGTAATTCTTATATTAAACATATTGATATTGCCATGTGTACACTAGGTTAATGAACAGTTTGTACTGCTCTCCAGAATGTAGTGCAGTTCAGTCACTCCCACTTGGCTCCTCCTGCTACTGCAAGCAGTTAAAGTCACTATCTGTGATTTATTTGGTGCAACGTCTGGGCTTGCTAGGAATTCTGTTGGCTACCTGTTGGATACCTGGAAAACAGCACCATGTAGCAGAAGATTAATTTAGTCTTGTCATATACAAGGACAAGAATTATAAGAAAGAGTTGCCAGAAGATTAGATTAATCAAGAATCTCCTTTTAAATATGTAAAAAACTATTAGTTTGCAAGTGTTAGCCTTCTGGGATTCTTAGACAAAGTGTGCCATGAATTCTTCAGTTACCATTGTTGGTTTTCTAAGCAGATCTTGTGTCGAGAGTTAGTATGGCCAGACTTCTTCTGGTATAATCTGTTAGACTGAACTTCTTCTAGATAGTTGGCCTCACCAGGCTTTATAAGTAGAGTCCTTCCTTTTGCTTCTGCAGGAGCATGTCCTTTGCCGGGGCAACTAGGCCAATGTTTCCAGCCTTTTTCATCACAGCAATTTGTATCTCTGTCCCAAAGGTGCTTTTTCAAGAAGCAACTGGACTTTCTGGTTAACCAGAAAGTCCAGTTGCCTCTTGAAAAAGCACCTTTGGGATAACCATGACCTGGATGACTGAGAATCTCCATAGACAATTTGTATCCCTGTTTCTATCAGCCCAGTTGGTCTGTCTTTTAATGCCTGAAATTTGGCACTTTCAACTCATTTCCCCCACTCTCCCCAAATACACGGGTTGCAAGAGTTTGGTGGACTCTGCATGTGTTGGTAGCTTTTATTTCACTTCTAGCATGTGTAATGCACAACCTTAATCTGCCCTCTTTTCGCATCCTCTAATGTGGTGGTGTCTTTTCTGCTAGTGATATAACACATGTTTGATGGGAAACATACCAATTATCCTAAAATTACCTTGCACTGAACTATATGTAGGCACTGCCAGCTCCTTGTTAAGGTGCAATAAAAGATAGGCTGTGGAGAGAGAAGTTTTTCTGTTGGCATATTGTCCTCTCGCCTCAAGGATGGGAGGAAAACACATAGCTGTTGCTCTCTAGATGAGCCCTGAGAGACTCAGTTGTGAACCAGGAATCCCCCTGATGCAAAATTCATCTCTACTGCATTGAACTTGCTAATTGAGAGTGGTCTTAGAAGCTTCATGGATATTTATTGAACTTCACTTCAGGATGCAGAAATATAATAACACACCTCTTCAGTAGTTGCTCCCATAGTAGTAACAGGAGCTGATGAATGACCCTTCTTCCTACTTGCACGAATGAATGAATTGTCCTTTGCCGGCCACAAATGTTCCTTGTCTTCCCTTGAGGTCATTAGGGTACTGAATGCTCTTTGCCTTTGGCAACAAACACCTAAGCTTCTCATGTGTTAAGCCCATATTCTAAAAGATTCGCCACATACTTGCTGAAAGATCTGTAGGCTTACAGATCCAGCAGGTAGATCTCAGGTTTCTGCTTCATTCAGTACACAGCTGCCAGCTGAATAAATGTTAATGTAGACCATGAATAAATAAAGTGACTTCTCTGCTTACTGGCTTCTGTTTTGAACCAAAAAGAAAGGGCATTGAAGGGGAATCCATTATATTCTTGGCAAGTCTGAGGGATGGGGGGGGAGTATTTCAGAATAATTAGGGGTTTGTATGAAAAGCCCATTGCTGCTTTTACTGTCATATTAGCAAGACACACACACCTTTCCTGAACTTACAGTAAATTGTTAGCAAGGCTGAAGTAGTAGAATTGTACCTCCTGATCGTCTTGCCCTTTGAATTCTTCTAGAAGGGGAATAAGTCCAGATCTTTGGATTTATTTTTATATGTAAACAATCCATTCCTTTCTGGAGGTTCCATTTGAGATATGATCAATCCTCATGGTCAAAGTGGCTCTCGGAGCCTTATCAAATGATGCGTTTGCTATGGCATTAGGCTCTGTTGCTCATACAAATGAATCATCAAACAATACAATCCAAAATTCTCACTGGAGGCACAAACAACCAGGTTCAAATTATACTACTTTTGGACGCATTATGTGAAAACCAGCTCTCTTGAGACATCTGTAATGCTGGGAAAGGTAGAAAGAAAGAGAAGACCAACCAGCAACAAGGTGAAAGTGGCAACTTTCGAATACCTGGAAGACCAGATTAGGGATTAATTATGATGGAGGAAATCTATCTATCTGGTTGCTGAGAATCAAAATGACTTAGTAGCACATAATCAATTAACTTTACACAACGGTCCTCATGTTTAGTGATGCCAAAGAGAAAGCTGTTTGCTAGCCCTTCTCCCTTCTTTCCCCTTTTGACTTTTCCAGCAAGAAATCACACAAAGAAAAAACTGAAACATGCTCAGTATGTCCGAATTGTTGCAGAAGTCATAAAATGGGATGTTATATCACACAAAATTAGAGTTATGAAATCTGCCTTGAAAATACCAATCAGACCTCCAAGATAAAAAAAAAATTAATAGAAAGAAGTTGTGATATCATTCTCTTTGAGATGCTTTAATTCAAATAATTCACTGTCTGGATAGAAGTCTGAAAATGGATCCGTTCCCCATTAGCTATTCGTTAACATATTACAACGTAAAAATTTTAAAAAGTATTAGGCATACATTTTCCTTTGTTTATGGACAGAAAGGTGAAATGGTGATACCTTTTAGCAAACTAGAGTCTTCTTCACAACTCTGCCCTTTGGTTACATTGGCTTGCAACTCTCATACTGAGAGCACACATACTGACCATGGCAGTAACCATGCAATGCATCTGAAAGGCTTAAGGTTACAGAAATGTGGCATAAAGAATAATGCTGAGGTGCTACCAGTTGTCTTTCTGCTCATAAAACTGAAAATATCCAGCATAAGTTGGATGCCAGTCCTCAAAGAATGTTCATATAATGTTCCTATAGTTGCCAACTGATGATGGGATATTCAAGGTAAGTCACTTGATATAAGAAACTATATATAATTCAAGAACAAGTTAAATACAGAAACAGTACACTGATAGGCTAGTATGAAGCAGGGAGTCCGTTTATCTAGTCATGATTACAACAAACCTTTTCTGAATGCTCATACTTTTTCCATGCTTTGAAATAATGAACTTATTTCCAGCAATACAGATGAAAGTGTGTCTTCTCCAGTAGTGATCAATGTAAGTCCTAGAAGGCCCAGCAAACCTGACTGTTGATTTTAGTAACTTCCTGAGAATTCTGAGTAGTTTCCTGTGAATCTGTGGAGGCCCCCAAGTCATGGAACGGTATTTAGTCCATCTCTCAAGCACATAGCAGAGGAATTTGTTTACCAGCCAGTCAGATATTTTTAAAACCATAGCATTTAAAATCAAGATTTGTTTAACATCTCCATAGGCTTTATTTCCATAAATGAAACCACGTGACCACAGATAGCTACAAAATATTGGAGGCATGGATGGCTATGGCTACTGAGAATAGATAAGTCAAATTGTTTTCTTTTTCTGAAGCAACAGCAAACAACTCTTTGAGTTAGGTGAACTCGGAAATATCTGGTTTCTAGTAGTTTGTTGAAGATGCTTGTGAAGATGCTTGTTTAGTAATCTCTGTTAATTGTTAGAACTTGGTGTCATATTTATCT